TAACCATTTTTATTTTATTCCAAATACATTAATTTAATAATTAAATGCATTTTTAATTGACTGCACCTTACTCTCCTGAAACCGATTGATCTCACGGGTTGGCTGAGGTCCTACGTTCAAAGAAATTTAATCGCTTTGTTTGGTGGGCCACCGCTCGCCCAAAATAAAGGTAGGTTCAAAAAGTTGTAAAAAACTCAATAACCCGCCACAATTTTAATCATTTGTTAATCACATTGTGAATTCATAAAAAAAATATTACTTTCTGAGCTACGTAGTAGTATAAACATTTTGACAAATCTAAAATTTTGTCATTGAAACTAAAGCTTCTAAAATGTCCTTCAAATAATTACGAGTCAATGTCGTAGAGTAGAAAACTTTACTTCAAAATAATGAACTTAAATTTTGTGGACAGAAATCACATTTGATTCGAAAAAATTTTAATTGACATTGTCATTCTTGATGAAAATCTAATTTACACTAGCCTTGATGAAAATCTAATTTACACTTTTAAAATAGTATACCAAAAGCGAATGTCTTAGCTTTGAAAGGCCGCAACTGTACAAATATCTATTGAACAATTTTTTTTCATTCAACATCTGTTTTTTGAGGATTTACCATAGGAATTTTAAACATTTAAAACAACTGTTTGCCCTCTGTAAACCAAAACTCACTCTGCTAAAACAACGTAAGTTTTCGTGCAGTTTATCCACTGTTACCTATGTACTACTTGTTAAATAAAAAATTAAATTCATAGTTTGTTTTACTGAAAGAAATTAATTGCTACATTATCAAAAGTATAAATGCAAGCCGAAATTTTATTTGTTTTTTTTTATTAAAAGTATTCTAACATGTCTAACAAGATTAAGCATTTTAGTAGGTAGTGATAGATACATTATTACTACATATCCTCAAAAATTATCAAAGTGCGTTTCTTACGACAGATATTCAATTTTTCATTGTGTCATCTCATGCTAATATACAAATAAGATAATCACTCTAAACTATATATAATTACTGTAATTGGCGTCTTACTATAGTTATCACAGCCAGTATTGAAGCTACAGTTCATGATACAATGACGCGTTGGTTGTCCTCTCTGTTCTTGTTTACAATTTTAACATGGAACATAGAATCTGCAAAAATTTTAGTGATTTTTCCAATGCCTGCACACAGCCATTTTTCTTTGGGTTTTCGCCTATCAAAAGAACTAGCCGATCGAGGACATCAAATGACTGTGATTAATCCCTACCCTCAAAAAACACCCATCAAAAACTATAAAGATATTTCGGTTGAAGAAAACGTGGAATTTATCGAAGGTAAGTTTTTTGCATTTAAAAATATTTCCCTATAAATTAAATCAATTCTAGAATTAAAGAAACAATTGTTTAAATTTAACACACTGGGACCTTATGATAACATAAATGCCGTCTATGACATGGGTGTTGATTTGACTGAAAATACCTTACAAAATAAACGTGTTCAAGATCTCTTAAAATCAGGAGAAACTTTTGATCTTGTCATAATGGAACATTTTTTGAACGACGCTGAAGTCGGAATAGCCCACCATTTCAAAGCCCCTTTTATTTTAATCTCTCCATTTGGAATTAGTAGAATAAATAACCATATTTTAGCAAATCCATTACCTTCCTCTTATGTCCCAAATCTTTTGGGTACATTTTCCAAACACATGAATTTCTGGGAACGACTTCAAAATTTCTTATTAAACATTTTGACTGATCTAGTCAGAGAATTAAGCTTCATGCCCCGACAACGCAAAATGTTCAAAAAATACATAAAAACTGATTTAGAACTGGATAATGTTTTATACAATGCCAGTTTGATGATGACCAATTCACATGTTAGCGTAAACGATGCTGTTCCACATGTTCCTGGCGTGATTGAAATTGGCGGATTTCATGTAAATCCCATAAAAAAATTACCTGAGGATTTGCAAAAATTTTTGGACGAGTCGAAGGAAGGCGTCGTCTTGTTTTCCATGGGTTCTAATTTGAAGAGTAAGGACTTACAACCGAAAGTGCGTGACGCTATTTTAAGAGCTTTTTCAAAAATTAAACAAAAAGTTTTGTGGAAGTTTGAAACGGACTTACCCAATGCCCCTAAGAATGTAAAAATTATGAAATGGTTGCCACAGCAAGATATTTTAGGTACCTATTTACGATTTATACTGAGACCTAATTCTAAAACTAAAAATTTTGTTTAAGCCCATCCAAATGTTGTCGCATTTATAACACATGGAGGTTTGTTGAGTACTATCGAAACGGTCACTCGAGGAGTCCCAATAATCGGTATTCCTGTTTTCGGTGACCAGAAAGCCAACATTGCTGCTGCAGTAACTCAAGGTTATGGTGTTAGTGTTCCCTTGCCAGAATTATCCGAAGAAAAATTATCTTGGGCTTTGAATGAAATTTTAAACAATCCTAAGTAAGTTAAATTTGAACTATTTATCCAAAAATTACGAAAATGCATTTCAGGTACCGCCAAAATGTGAAACAGCGATCGAAATTAATAAATGATCAACCTTTAAAACCCATTGATGCAGCTGTTTATTGGGTCGAACACGTGATTCGACATGGAGGTGCTACACACCTCAGATCTGCAGCACTTGACCTCAAATGGTACCAACGCGAAATGGTTGATATATTTCTCTTCTTGGCATTTGTCATAATTGTAACACTCGTTGTAGTATGTAAAATTATCAAATTTTGTGTTGGTTTGTGTTGCAAACAACCAAAAGTGAGTAAAGCTAAAAAACGCAATTAAATAAATGTTTTTACAAAAAGATGAGTCAGTTCTTTTCTCACTCTCTACCTTTATTCCCAATCATTTATCTCTGATAAACTAGCCTAAAATTAGAGATAATAACACTACATCGTCAAGGTTATCTGTCTAGTCTAGTACATCGTTGTCATGGCCATTGTAAAATTTCAACTTGATTCGCAATGACGCGTTTTTTAGCAGCTATATTTTTATTTGCAATAATATGGAGTGCCCAAAGTGCAAAAATTTTGGTAAATTTTCCAATGCCAGCTTACAGCCATTTTTCTTTAGGCTTTCGGTTAGCTAAAGAATTGGCTGATCGTGGCCACCAGGTCACTGTCATAAATCCGTACCCACAGAAAACTCCAATTAAAAATTATAAGGACATATCCGTAGAGGAACATGTAGAATTTATTGAAGGTTAGTGCCAAATTTTAGCAATAAATCATTAATTTTCTATTTCTAGAATTGAAGAAAAATTTATTTGGAATGAACAATATGGGATTTGTGTCCAATATAAATTTTCTACTAATGATGTGTTCAAACTTAACTGAACGAACATTTATTAACAAAAATGTCCAACAACTTTTAAATTCTGAGGAAATTTTTGATTTGGTCATCACAGAACATTTCTTAAACGAAGCTCATTTTGGCTTAGCTCATCATTTTAAAGCACCTCTTGTTGTGGTATCTCCTGGAGCTGCTAATTCCTTAACTAATCATCTAACTGCTAATCCATCCCCTTCCTCTTATGTCCCCAATATTATGACTGGCTTTACCAGTCATATGAATTTCTGGCAACGTACCACGAATTTTCTCGCAAACATCGTATATGACGGCATGAGAGAAGTTATTATGATGCCAATACAGAGAAAACTTTTCAAAAAATATATAAAATCCGACTTAGAACTGGACGACGTTTTGTTTAATGCAAGCATTGTTTTAACTAATTCTCACATTAGCGTGCAAGACGCTGTTCCTCACGTACCAAACATGATTGAAATTGGAGGTTTTCATGTAAAACCCCCGAAAAAATTACCGGATGATTTGCAAAAATTTCTCGATGATTCCAAGGAAGGCGTTATCTTATTCTCGATGGGTTCAAACTTGAAAAGCAAGGACTTGAAACCTGAGGTTAGAGAAGGAATTTTGGAAGCATTCTCAAAGATTAAGCAAAAGGTTTTATGGAAGTTTGAAACCGAATTAGAGGGTGCTCCCAAAAATGTGAAAATAATGAAATGGTTGCCACAACAAGATATTTTAGGTAAAGTAATTTTCTAAATAACAATTGGTTTATTTTTTCTTGTAGCACATCCAAATATTGTCATGTTTATTTCACATGGAGGTTTATTGAGTACTATTGAAGCTGTCTACCATGGTGTTCCAATAGTAGGTATTCCCGTGTTTGGGGATCAGGAAGCTAACATCGCTGCTGCTGCAAGTAAAGGTTATGCTGTTCGTGTCCCCTTAAAAGAACTATCCGAAGAGAAACTTTCATGGGCCTTGAATGAAATACTCAATAATCCAAAGTATTTTTCTAATTTTTAAAAAGAAAACTAAATTAAAATTTGATTTTAGATACCGAGAAAATATCAAACAACGTTCAAAATTAATGCAAGATCAACCATTAAAACCTCTTGATTCTGCCATTTACTGGATAGAACATGTCATACGTCATAAGGGTGCCCCACATCTTAGGTCTGCAGGTCTTGATCTCAAGTGGTACGAAAGGGAAATGATCGATATTATCCTCTTTTTAACTCTAGTCACAATACTGTTGTTTATAGTTTTTTATATAATCATTAAAAAAATTATTAGATCGTGTTGCAGAAAGAAACAGGTCAAAGTGTCTAGAACAAAAAAAAATAAATAAACGATTACACTTTTTGTGTCTCCATTTTCTAACAATAAAAATGCATAGCAATCAGTAATCATTAAAACAATTATAAAAACTGTAAAAATGCTAAGGTTATCAATTAACTACTTCGGTTAAGGACTTTACGACGATACAAGACATGATCTTTAGTTATTTGTACATATTTGAATAATGAAGTTTTATTTAATATTATGTTGCATACTATGGGGGTCAAAAAGTTACAAACTTTTATTCATGTGCCCCATGCCATCTCCCAGTCATTTCTTCTTAATTTTACGTTTGGCCTAAGAATTTGCAAACTGAAGACACCAAGTCACTGTTATTAGTCCTTTTCCTCAGAAAACACCAATTGAAAATTAACGAGATATCCCAATTTTGAAAGTAATAGATTTGTTTGAAGGTATGTCAAAATAAATTATAGTATAAAACAAATTATAGTTTTCCATTAATTTATTTTAGAAATAAAAAAAGTTTGTTTCATATTGTTGACAGAGACCCTCTTGACAATTTAAATCATATTTATAATGCAGATCTTGGAGCCACAACACAAATTCTCGAAAATAAAAACATACAAAATTTGATTAATTCGAATAAGACTCTTGATGCTTTTATCATTGAGCAGATTACATCAAAGGCTTTGTTAGAAATCAGTCACCGATTTGGTGCTCCTATAATACTAATGTCGGGTTTTGGTACCACAAGTTTGCTCAATTATTTTGTTGCAAACCCTGAGCCTTCATCCTATGTGTGGAATGTCGTAATGAAGCCGTCAACAACGTATAAAAAATTTTGGGACAGATTACTAAATTTTGTCTTAAGCAACTAAATATGTTGATTTTATGAGAGAGCAATATTTCCTGCCTAAACATAGAAAACTTTTCAAAAAATATTTCAATTCAGATGTTGATGAATTGGATGAAATAATATATAATGTTAGTTTAATTTTGGGGAATTTAGATGTTAATTTATACAAAGCTGTGCTCCAAGTACCCAATATTATCAATATTGGAGGATTTCATGTGGGTTAATTGAAAAAACTACCAACGATTTGCAAAGTTTCCTCGACAATTCAAAAAACGGAGTAATACTCTCTTTGGGATCCAATTTGAAAGTTCAGATTTAAAACCTGAAATAAGAGACGCTTTTTTAAATGCTTTCTCTAACATTAAGCAAAACGTGTTATGGAAATTTGAGAATAAACAGTTAGAGAAACAGTTAGAAATGTGAAAATTATGGAATGGTTGCCGCAACAGGAAGTTTTAGGTAATATTACTAATATGAAAAAAATCTAAAAAAACATGCTATAACAACAAATTATTTTAACTCACCCAAACGTCAAAGCATTTATAACTCACGGTGCAATGTTAAGTATTGTCGAAACTGTTTAATTTGGAGTCCCCATGATTGGGATTCCTATTTTTGGTGACCAAAAAAGCAACCTAGCCACTGTTGCAAAGAGGGGTTACTGTATCAATTTACCATTTACCGAGCTTACAGAAGAAAAACTTTCCAATGCCTTGAATGAAATTTTGAATAACCCTAAGTACCTATTTGTTAAAAATTTCGAACAACAATAATAACAACTTTGTTACAGGTATTGAAAACATGCACAAAAATTATCTCAAATTATGCATGATAGACCAGTAAAAGCACTCGATGAAGCTGTTTTTTGGATTGAATATGAAATAAGGCATAAAGGGGCTCTACATCTTAGAATTGATGCTCTTAATTTAAAGTGGTATCAAAGAGAAATGGTCGATATTATTGGGTTTTTGATCGGACTTTTTTTGCTTTTCCTTGCTTCACTGTTATTTATTTCGAAAACAATGTTGAGCTGGATGTTTTGTACAAGATCACCAATTAAACAAAAATTAAATTAAAATGAGTCTATAATGTAGTAAAATGTGTTTTAAATAAATAACAAAACTTTGTTTTATTTAAAAATATTACATAAAAAATTTCTCAATGTTAATTCTTTTGCAGCTTAAACACACGTAAAATGTGTAACATGATAAGTTATCACTTGAATTCTTGATTACATTTGTTTATTCCCACTTAAGAGTTGAGATTCCAAATTAACGTATAATCTAACGTTAGTTTATTTTTAGACTGTTGGTGACCATGATGTTACTCTCATTATTATTATTTCTAAGTGTTTTACACAACAATGTCAGAAGTTCAAAAATTTTAGTAATTTCTTCAATGCCTGCTCATAGTCACTACACTTTGGCATTCCGTTTAGCTAAAGAACTAGCCGATAGGGAACACCACGTGACTTTCATGAATCCTTATCCTCAAAAAACAGTGATAAAAAACCTCAGAGAAGTTTCACTTGAAGATACAGTTCCATGGGTCAACGGTAAAATTTTGAATAAAATATATCCATTATTTTAGTTGTGTTTTCAGAATTTAAGAAAACCCTATTTATTAGTCCTAAAACCTTATTTTCAAACATACAAGAAAGCTGTGTCTTGGGAGGAGGAACAACTGAATACGCACTAAACAACACAAACGTACAGAAATTATTAACTTTAGAAAAAATGTTCGATGTTGTCATTTTAGAACATTTTCTAAATGAAGCTTTGTTGGGGATTGCACATTATTTTAACAGCCCTGCAATTTTACTAGAACCTATACCAACGAGTAAAAAGACAAACTACTTATTTGCAAACCCTAGTCCATCCTCTTATGTACCCGATCTTTTAGGAACCTTTACAAAGCATATGAATTTTTGGCAACGACTTCAAAATTTTATTTCAAATAATTTCGACGATGTTTTAAGAGAATTTGTATACCTACCAGTGCAAAGAAAATTGTTTAACAAATATTTTAAAACTGACATTCACCTTGACGATTTATTATATAATATTAGTTTGATCTTAACAACATCACACCCAAGTATCAATGATGCGATACCACACACCCCAAATACTGTCGAAATTGGAGGCTATCACATCTTTCTTCCTAAAACACTTCCTCAGGATTTACAAAATTATCTGGATAATGCCTCTGAGGGTGTCATTTTGTTTTCAATAGGATCTAACTTGAAAAGCAAAGACTTGACCTTGAAAGTGAGAAAAGCAATCCTTAACTCATTTTCAAAAATTAACCAAAAGGTTTTGTGGAAATTTGAAACTGATCTACCAGAAGCACCGAAAAATGTTAAGATTATGAACTGGTTGCCCCAACAAGATATCATTGGTGAGACAAAAAATATCGAATTCAACGGTAAATTTTATTTTAATTCTTTTGAAGGGCATCCAAATATTCGAGCTTTTATCACTCATGGAGGTCTACTAAGCACAACAGAAGCGGTTTATTACGGAGTTCCGATAATCGGAATTCCAGTTTTTGGTGATCAAAAAAGCAACATTGCGGCAGCTGTAAGCAATGGCTATGCAATTGAAGTGCCTTTAGCGAAACTGACAGAGGAAATGTTGTCGGAAGCATTAAACGAGATATTGAATATCCCAAAGTAAGTCTTTTGATAATTTTTTAGTATATTTTCTGATATCTATCATTATGACCAGTTTAAATTTCCCGTATTAAGGGCCAGTTTCATAATCAAATTCAAAGAAGCATTAAATTAAATGTTCTTTAGAATGTGTCGATTACTACGGACTTGGCAAAAATTTCACATTCTAAAGCAACATTAACTTCAAAGTCTATTATGAAGCTGGCCCTAAGACAACAAAAAACTGTAAAACTTGTGTTGTCTCCAATTTTTTTTACAGTAATAATTGCATCAGAAATGTTACTAAATTCAGAAATAAACAGCAAATGTATCGCCAGAGCTATTAGTCATGGTTACGCCGTTAAAATCTCTCTATAAGAAAGAACACAAATTATATTCCATGAAACTTTACGAGAAATAATAATAAGAACTCGTCAAATTTTGCTAAGAGTTTTTTGATAATATTTGTTTTTGTTACAGATACAAAGAAAATGTACAGAAGCGATCTAAACTGATGCATGACCAGCCTCTGAAACCTATTGATTTAGCTATTTATTGGATAGAGTACGTGATTAGACATAAAGGCGCTCCACATTTGAGATCAGCAGGACTTGATTTGAAATGGTACCAGAGAGAAATGATTGATGTTATTGCGTTTCTTATTGCTTGTGTAGCAGCAATATTGACAGTAGTCTACATAACTATTAAAAAAGTAATATGTAAGAGAAAATCAGTCAAAAAAACAAACAAACTTAAAAAAAATAAACTGACATTTTAACACGTTTTATGTCTTAATAAGTAATAAGTAACACCTTTAATATGTATATATTATATATTATATATTATATATTATATAATATATAATATATAATATATAATATATACATATTAAAGGTGTTACTTATTACTTATTAAGACATAAAACGTGTTAAAATGTCAGTTTATTTTTTTTAAGTTTGTTTGTTTTTTTGACTGATTTTCTCTTACATATTACTTTTTTAATAGTTATGTAGACTACTGTCAATATTGCTGCTACACAAGCAATAAGAAACGCAATAACATCAATCATTTCTCTCTGGTACCATTTCAAATCAAGTCCTGCTGATCTCAAATGTGGAGCGCCTTTATGTCTAATCACGTACTCTATCCAATAAATAGCTAAATCAATAGGTTTCAGAGGCTGGTCATGCATCAGTTTAGATCGCTTCTGTACATTTTCTTTGTATCTGTAACAAAAACAAATATTATCAAAAAACTCTTAGCAAAATTTGACGAGTTCTTATTATTATTTCTCGTAAAGTTTCATGGAATATAATTTGTGTTCTTTCTTATAGAGAGATTTTAACGGCGTAACCATGACTAATAGCTCTGGCGATACATTTGCTGTTTATTTCTGAATTTAGTAACATTTCTGATGCAATTATTACTGTAAAAAAAATTGGAGACAACACAAGTTTTACAGTTTTTTGTTGTCTTAGGGCCAGCTTCATAATAGACTTTGAAGTTAATGTTGCTTTAGAATGTGAAATTTTTGCCAAGTCCGTAGTAATCGACACATTCTAAAGAACATTTAATTTAATGCTTCTTTGAATTTGATTATGAAACTGGCCCTTAATACGGGAAATTTAAACTGGTCATAATGATAGATATCAGAAAATATACTAAAAAATTATCAAAAGACTTACTTTGGGATATTCAATATCTCGTTTAATGCTTCCGACAACATTTCCTCTGTCAGTTTCGCTAAAGGCACTTCAATTGCATAGCCATTGCTTACAGCTGCCGCAATGTTGCTTTTTTGATCACCAAAAACTGGAATTCCGATTATCGGAACTCCGTAATAAACCGCTTCTGTTGTGCTTAGTAGACCTCCATGAGTGATAAAAGCTCGAATATTTGGATGCCCTTCAAAAGAATTAAAATAAAATTTACCGTTGAATTCGATATTTTTTGTCTCACCAATGATATCTTGTTGGGGCAACCAGTTCATAATCTTAACATTTTTCGGTGCTTCTGGTAGATCAGTTTCAAATTTCCACAAAACCTTTTGGTTAATTTTTGAAAATGAGTTAAGGATTGCTTTTCTCACTTTCAAGGTCAAGTCTTTGCTTTTCAAGTTAGATCCTATTGAAAACAAAATGACACCCTCAGAGGCATTATCCAGATAATTTTGTAAATCCTGAGGAAGTGTTTTAGGAAGAAAGATGTGATAGCCTCCAATTTCGACAGTATTTGGGGTGTGTGGTATCGCATCATTGATACTTGGGTGTGATGTTGTTAAGATCAAACTAATATTATATAATAAATCGTCAAGGTGAATGTCAGTTTTAAAATATTTGTTAAACAATTTTCTTTGCACTGGTAGGTATACAAATTCTCTTAAAACATCGTCGAAATTATTTGAAATAAAATTTTGAAGTCGTTGCCAAAAATTCATATGCTTTGTAAAGGTTCCTAAAAGATCGGGTACATAAGAGGATGGACTAGGGTTTGCAAATAAGTAGTTTGTCTTTTTACTCGTTGGTATAGGTTCTAGTAAAATTGCAGGGCTGTTAAAATAATGTGCAATCCCCAACAAAGCTTCATTTAGAAAATGTTCTAAAATGACAACATCGAACATTTTTTCTAAAGTTAATAATTTCTGTACGTTTGTGTTGTTTAGTGCGTATTCAGTTGTTCCTCCTCCCAAGACACAGCTTTCTTGTATGTTTGAAAATAAGGTTTTAGGACTAATAAATAGGGTTTTCTTAAATTCTGAAAACACAACTAAAATAATGGATATATTTTATTCAAAATTTTACCGTTGACCCATGGAACTGTATCTTCAAGTGAAACTTCTCTGAGGTTTTTTATCACTGTTTTTTGAGGATAAGGATTCATGAAAGTCACGTGGTGTTCCCTATCGGCTAGTTCTTTAGCTAAACGGAATGCCAAAGTGTAGTGACTATGAGCAGGCATTGAAGAAATTACTAAAATTTTTGAACTTCTGACATTGTTGTGTAAAACACTTAGAAATAATAATAATGAGAGTAACATCATGGTCACCAACAGTCTAAAAATAAACTAACGTTAGATTATACGTTAATTTGGAATCTCAACTCTTAAGTGGGAATAAACAAATGTAATCAAGAATTCAAGTGATAACTTATCATGTTACACATTTTACGTGTGTTTAAGCTGCAAAAGAATTAACATTGAGAAATTTTTTATGTAATATTTTTAAATAAAACAAAGTTTTGTTATTTATTTAAAACACATTTTACTACATTATAGACTCATTTTAATTTAATTTTTGTTTAATTGGTGATCTTGTACAAAACATCCAGCTCAACATTGTTTTCGAAATAAATAACAGTGAAGCAAGGAAAAGCAAAAAAAGTCCGATCAAAAACCCAATAATATCGACCATTTCTCTTTGATACCACTTTAAATTAAGAGCATCAATTCTAAGATGTAGAGCCCCTTTATGCCTTATTTCATATTCAATCCAAAAAACAGCTTCATCGAGTGCTTTTACTGGTCTATCATGCATAATTTGAGATAATTTTTGTGCATGTTTTCAATACCTGTAACAAAGTTGTTATTATTGTTGTTCGAAATTTTTAACAAATAGGTACTTAGGGTTATTCAAAATTTCATTCAAGGCATTGGAAAGTTTTTCTTCTGTAAGCTCGGTAAATGGTAAATTGATACAGTAACCCCTCTTTGCAACAGTGGCTAGGTTGCTTTTTTGGTCACCAAAAATAGGAATCCCAATCATGGGGACTCCAAATTAAACAGTTTCGACAATACTTAACATTGCACCGTGAGTTATAAATGCTTTGACGTTTGGGTGAGTTAAAATAATTTGTTGTTATAGCATGTTTTTTTAGATTTTTTTCATATTAGTAATATTACCTAAAACTTCCTGTTGCGGCAACCATTCCATAATTTTCACATTTCTAACTGTTTCTCTAACTGTTTATTCTCAAATTTCCATAACACGTTTTGCTTAATGTTAGAGAAAGCATTTAAAAAAGCGTCTCTTATTTCAGGTTTTAAATCTGAACTTTCAAATTGGATCCCAAAGAGAGTATTACTCCGTTTTTTGAATTGTCGAGGAAACTTTGCAAATCGTTGGTAGTTTTTTCAATTAACCCACATGAAATCCTCCAATATTGATAATATTGGGTACTTGGAGCACAGCTTTGTATAAATTAACATCTAAATTCCCCAAAATTAAACTAACATTATATATTATTTCATCCAATTCATCAACATCTGAATTGAAATATTTTTTGAAAAGTTTTCTATGTTTAGGCAGGAAATATTGCTCTCTCATAAAATCAACATATTTAGTTGCTTAAGACAAAATTTAGTAATCTGTCCCAAAATTTTTTATACGTTGTTGACGGCTTCATTACGACATTCCACACATAGGATGAAGGCTCAGGGTTTGCAACAAAATAATTGAGCAAACTTGTGGTACCAAAACCCGACATTAGTATTATAGGAGCACCAAATCGGTGACTGATTTCTAACAAAGCCTTTGATGTAATCTGCTCAATGATAAAAGCATCAAGAGTCTTATTCGAATTAATCAAATTTTGTATGTTTTTATTTTCGAGAATTTGTGTTGTGGCTCCAAGATCTGCATTATAAATATGATTTAAATTGTCAAGAGGGTCTCTGTCAACAATATGAAACAAACTTTTTTTATTTCTAAAATAAATTAATGGAAAACTATAATTTGTTTTATACTATAATTTATTTTGACATACCTTCAAACAAATCTATTACTTTCAAAATTGGGATATCTCGTTAATTTTCAATTGGTGTTTTCTGAGGAAAAGGACTAATAACAGTGACTTGGTGTCTTCAGTTTGCAAATTCTTAGGCCAAACGTAAAATTAAGAAGAAATGACTGGGAGATGGCATGGGGCACATGAATAAAAGTTTGTAACTTTTTGACCCCCATAGTATGCAACATAATATTAAATAAAACTTCATTATTCAAATATGTACAAATAACTAAAGATCATGTCTTGTATCGTCGTAAAGTCCTTAACCGAAGTAGTTAATTGATAACCTTAGCATTTTTACAGTTTTTATAATTGTTTTAATGATTACTGATTGCTATGCATTTTTATTGTTAGAAAATGGAGACACAAAAAGTGTAATCGTTTATTTATTTTTTTTTGTTCTAGACACTTTGACCTGTTTCTTTCTGCAACACGATCTAATAATTTTTTTAATGATTATATAAAAAACTATAAACAACAGTATTGTGACTAGAGTTAAAAAGAGGATAATATCGATCATTTCCCTTTCGTACCACTTGAGATCAAGACCTGCAGACCTAAGATGTGGGGCACCCTTATGACGTATGACATGTTCTATCCAGTAAATGGCAGAATCAAGAGGTTTTAATGGTTGATCTTGCATTAATTTTGAACGTTGTTTGATATTTTCTCGGTATCTAAAATCAAATTTTAATTTAGTTTTCTTTTTAAAAATTAGAAAAATACTTTGGATTATTGAGTATTTCATTCAAGGCCCATGAAAGTTTCTCTTCGGATAGTTCTTTTAAGGGGACACGAACAGCATAACCTTTACTTGCAGCAGCAGCGATGTTAGCTTCCTGATCCCCAAACACGGGAATACCTACTATTGGAACACCATGGTAGACAGCTTCAATAGTACTCAATAAACCTCCATGTGAAATAAACATGACAATATTTGGATGTGCTACAAGAAAAAATAAACCAATTGTTATTTAGAAAATTACTTTACCTAAAATATCTTGTTGTGGCAACCATTTCATTATTTTCACATTTTTGGGAGCACCCTCTAATTCGGTTTCAAACTTCCATAAAACCTTTTGCTTAATCTTTGAGAATGCTTCCAAAATTCCTTCTCTAACCTCAGGTTTCAAGTCCTTGCTTTTCAAGTTTGAACCCATCGAGAATAAGATAACGCCTTCCTTGGAATCATCGAGAAATTTTTGCAAATCATCCGGTAATTTTTTCGGGGGTTTTACATGAAAACCTCCAATTTCAATCATGTTTGGTACGTGAGGAACAGCGTCTTGCACGCTAATGTGAGAATTAGTTAAAACAATGCTTGCATTAAACAAAACGTCGTCCAGTTCTAAGTCGGATTTTATATATTTTTTGAAAAGTTTTCTCTGTATTGGCATCATAATAACTTCTCTCATGCCGTCATATACGATGTTTGCGAGAAAATTCGTGGTACGTTGCCAGAAATTCATATGACTGGTAAAGCCAGTCATAATATTGGGGACATAAGAGGAAGGGGATGGATTAGCAGTTAGATGATTAGTTAAGGAATTAGCAGCTCCAGGAGATACCACAACAAGAGGTGCTTTAAAATGATGAGCTAAGCCAAAATGAGCTTCGTTTAAGAAATGTTCTGTGATGACCAAATCAAAAATTTCCTCAGAATTTAAAAGTTGTTGGACATTTTTGTTAATAAATGTTCGTTCAGTTAAGTTTGAACACATCATTAGTAGAAAATTTATATTGGACACAAATCCCATATTGTTCATTCCAAATAAATTTTTCTTCAATTCTAGAAATAGAAAATTAATGATTTATTGCTAAAATTTGGCACTAACCTTCAATAAATTCTACATGTTCCTCTACGGATATGTCCTTATAATTTTTAATTGGAGTTTTCTGTGGGTACGGATTTATGACAGTGACCTGGTGGCCACGATCAGCCAATTCTTTAGCTAACCGAAAGCCTAAAGAAAAATGGCTGTAAGCTGGCATTGGAAAATTTACCAAAATTTTTGCACTTTGGGCACTCCATATTATTGCAAATAAAAATATAGCTGCTAAAAAACGCGTCATTGCGAATCAAGTTGAAATTTTACAATGGCCATGACAACGATGTACTAGACTAGACAGATAACCTTGACGATGTAGTGTTATTATCTCTAATTTTAGGCTAGTTTATCAGAGATAAATGATTGGGAATAAAGGTAGAGAGTGAGAAAAGAACTGACTCATCTTTTTGTAAAAACATTTATTTAATTGCGTTTTTTAGCTTTACTCACTTTTGGTTGTTTGCAACACAAACCAACACAAAATTTGATAATTTTACATACTACAACGAGTGTTACAATTATGACAAATGCCAAGAAGAGAAATATATCAACCATTTCGCGTTGGTACCATTTGAGGTCAAGTGCTGCAGATCTGAGGTGTGTAGCACCTCCATGTCGAATCACGTGTTCGACCCAATAAACAGCTGCATCAATGGGTTTTAAAGGTTGATCATTTATTAATTTCGATCGCTGTTTCACATTTTGGCGGTACCTGAAATGCATTTTCGTAATTTTTGGATAAATAGTTCAAATTTAACTTACTTAGGATTGTTTAAAATTTCATTCAAAGCCCAAGATAATTTTTCTTCGGATAATTCTGGCAAGGGAACACTAACACCATAACCTTGAGTTACTGCAGCAGCAATGTTGGCTTTCTGGTCACCGAAAACAGGAATACCGATTATTGGGACTCCTCGAGTGACCGTTTCGATAGTACTCAACAAACCTCCATGTGTTATAAATGCGACAACATTTGGATGGGCTTAAACAAAATTTTTAGTTTTAGAATTAGGTCTCAGTATAAATCGTAAATAGGTACCTAAAATATCTTGCTGTGGCAACCATTTCATAATTTTTACATTCTTAGGGGCATTGGGTAAGTCCGTTTCAAACTTCCACAAAACTTTTTGTTTAATTTTTGAAAAAGCTCTTAAAATAGCGTCACGCACTTTCGGTTGTAAGTCCTTACTCTTCAAATTAGAACCCATGGAAAACAAGACGACGCCTTCCTTCGACTCGTCCAAAAATTTTTGCAAATCCTCAGGTAATTTTTTTATGGGATTTACATGAAATCCGCCAATTTCAATCACGCCAGGAACATGTGGAACAGCATCGTTTACGCTAACATGTGAATTGGTCATCATCAAACTGGCATTGTATAAAACATTATCCAGTTCTAAATCAGTTTTTATGTATTTTTTGAACATTTTGCGTTGTCGGGGCATGAAGCTTAATTCTCTGACTAGATCAGTCAAAATGTTTAATAAGAAATTTTGAAGTCGTTCCCAGAAATTCATGTGTTTGGAAAATGTACCCAAAAGATTTGGGACATAAGAGGAAGGTAATGGATTTGCTAAAATATGGTTATTTATTCTACTAATTCCAAATGGAGAGATTAAAATAAAAGGGGCTTTGAAATGGTGGGCTATTCCGACTTCAGCGTCGTTCAAAAAATGTTCCATTATGACAAGATCAAAAGTTTCTCCTGATTTTAAGAGATCTTGAACACGTTTATTTTGTAAGGTATTTTCAGTCAAATCAACACCCATGTCATAGACGGCATTTATGTTATCATAAGGTCCCAGTGTGTTAAATTTAAACAATTGTTTCTTTAATTCTAGAATTGATTTAATTTATAGGGAAATATTTTTAAATGCAAAAAACTTACCTTCGATAAATTCCACGTTTTCTTCAACCGAAATATCTTTATAGTTTTTGATGGGTGTTTTTTGAGGGTAGGGATTAATCACAGTCATTTGATGTCCTCGATCGGCTAGTTCTTTTGATAGGCGAAAACCCAAAGAAAAATGGCTGTGTGCAGGCATTGGAAAAATCACTAAAATTTTTGCAGATTCTATGTTCCATGTTAAAATTGTAAACAAGAACAGAGAGGACAACCAACGCGTCATTGTATCATGAACTGTAGCTTCAATACTGGCTGTGATAACTATAGTAAGACGCCAATTACAGTAATTATATATAGTTTAGAGTGATTATCTTATTTGTATATTAGCATGAGATGACACAATGAAAAATTGAATATCTGTCGTAAGAAACGCACTTTGATAATTTTTGAGGATATGTAGTAATAATGTATCTATCACTACCTACTAAAATGCTTAATCTTGTTAGACATGTTAGAATACTTTTAATAAAAAAAAACAAATAAAATTTCGGCTTGCATTTATACTTTTGATAATGTAGCAATTAATTTCTTTCAGTAAAACAAACTATGAATTTAATTTTTTATTTAACAAGTAGTACATAGGTAACAGTGGATAAACTGCACGAAAACTTACGTTGTTTTAGCAGAGTGAGTTTTGGTTTACAGAGGGCAAACAGTTGTTTTAAATGTTTAAAATTCCTATGGTAAATCCTCAAAAAACAGATGTTGAATGAAAAAAAATTGTTCAATAGATATTTGTACAGTTGCGGCCTTTCAAAGCTAAGACATTCGCTTTTGGTATACTATTTTAAAAGTGTAAATTAGATTTTCATCAAGGCTAGTGTAAATTAGATTTTCATCAAGAATGACAATGTCAATTAAAATTTTTTCGAATCAAATGTGATTTCTGTCCACAAAATTTAAGTTCATTATTTTGAAGTAAAGTTTTCTACTCTACGACATTGACTCGTAATTATTTGAAGGACATTTTAGAAGCTTTAGTTTCAATGACAAAATTTTAGATTTGTCAAAATGTTTATACTACTACGTAGCTCAGAAAGTAATATTTTTTTTATGAATTCACAATGTGATTAACAAATGATTAAAATTGTGGCGGGTTATTGAGTTTTTTACAACTTTTTGAACCTACCTTTATTTTGGGCGAGCGGTGGCCCACCAAACAAAGCGATTAAATTTCTTTGAACGTAGGACCTCAGCCAACCCGTGAGATCAATCGGTTTCAGGAGAGTAAGGTGCAGTCAATTAAAAATGCATTTAATTATTAAATTAATGTATTTGGAATAAAATAAAAATGGTTAATACGATATAAGTGAATAATACAAAAAGGGTAAATAAATGCGGAAACAATTGTCTAAAATAGGGGATATTCCTATTTTAGACCTTATCAAAGTCATAATACAAAACTGAAACTATTTTCTAACAACAAAGGCATTAATGTTTTAAGTRACATTATTACATTTRAACRGAAATTGCACAAACTATGGACTTTAACGAAATTAGGAAAAACAACCAAAATGTATTTATTATTTAATTTAGAAAAACATTGTAATTGCTTATCTATGCATCGTATGACATCTCTGGTTTTCACATGTCAACTTAACACTCTGATAAGAAATAAACGTTAAATGAAACTAATATCTTAAACCTAACTTGGGGTTTGTGTGAATTGTAACCAGAGACCAAATCTCTGTCGTCGACTCATGAAACTATCCATCTTTCAACACGGTTACTTTTCAAGTTCATCCTGGCCCAGACGCTTTAGTTTAGCAAAACATTACTTAAATAATTTAGAAATTTTGATAACGGCTTCGTTCGAAAATCCACAACAAAATCATAATATGGTACGGCATGGTAAGTCGGAGCAACGTGAACAGTCATAGGAAAAATAAATCCAAACTTACAGCTCATGACTATGCAATAGAACAATCAGGCTGCTTTGGGCTGATAGCTTCTGGCCTCAGATGGTGGCACAAGATGTTTTGGCAGCTTCTTCTTCAATTGACACAACTAGTCTGATTCGACTAGACGACTGATTTTTGACTGATCTCCTAGCGATATTCGCGCTTCCTTTTTATAGGGCGAATAACACGTCATCTCTTGCGATAGGTTCTTTCCAGTGCACAGGGCAAGGACAGTCTAGCGCGAATATTTAGTGAATCATAAGAATCATAAAACGCACTTAAGATTTTAAGTCTTCCGCGAAAAACTCGTCGCCTGCTCTAATTGTGTTTACGTTATGAATTCCGAAGAGTATGTGTTATTGACCGCAATTTAACTTCATAGGTTTGGTCTCTTTACAATATCAAAGACTTTAAGTCTTTAAAAAGAACATCAAGGGCTTTTTAGCCCATCACAAAATAAATGACTTTCTAAACGTGTGGTAAACGATATGTTTTTGCGTAGTGCTACCCTAAGGACCAACATTGAGACAAATAATAATAATAACTGTCAAGGTAAGAAATAAATTGTAGCACATCGCAAGCTCGTATTTGTAATAAACTGTAAAGAAACGATAGTAATAAGTAACAAAATGGTATTAAAAAAGTATAATTTTTCGTTAAGAGAACTCACTTTTGCAATAGTATATTATTCAAGAAGCATATAATGATGGCTATTATTCATAAAAGTGAAGTTTAAAAAACGAGTGAATGATAGCCAATTTATGCAAGTAAAATATACTATGCCTTATGTACGACTACTAAATATTTTCGATTTTTGGTATTGATTAAGTTGACGTTTTAATTTAATTCCAAGCTGTGTTATACATATGAACTATATTACGTGCCTATGGATACGCTTATAATAACACTATAATTATAAAAAATAAATATATTTACGAGTACAAAAAATAAAAAACTTTGTCCTTACTTGCTAAGAATTGACTCCAATTTTATTTAATTTTGAGGTAACTTAATATTAAATTACATAAATTAAATTTATGAGGATCTGCACTAATTTCAAACACATTACTTATTTTTCTTCCCACTGCTTATCTTAATTTTTGTATTAAAACATACCCTAAATACTGACTGGAAAATTAAATAAATAATTGTACATATTGCTACTACAATAAGACCAAGAAAACCAAAAATATCTACCATCTCCCTTTGGTACCATGACAAATCAAGGGCAGCGGAACGTAAATGAGGGGCTCCTTGGTGTCTTATTACGTGTTCCACCCAATAAATAGCAACATCAATGGGTTTTAAGGGCTGATCTTGCATTAGTTTTGAGCGTTGTTTGGCATTTTCTCTATACCTGAAATATTTTTTTACCAATGTTGTTTCAATTTTTTAAATACTTACATTGGGTTTTTAAATATTTCGTTCAAAGCCCATGATAATTTAACTTCGTTTAGTTCGAACAAATTGATGCTGATAGCGTAACCGTTAGCTACCGCAGTTGCAATATTACTTTGTTGGTCACCAAAAACAGGAATACCAATTATTGGAACTCCATGGTAAACCGTCTCGATGGTGCTAAGTAGACCCCCATGAGAAATAAATGCGATAATGTTTGGATGTGCTACAAAACATTGCAAAATACACATTTTTTAATATTGTGTCATTACCAAGAACGTCTTGCTGCGGCACCCAATTCACAATTTTAACATTATCTGGAACATCCTTAAATTCGACTTCAAATTTCCACAAAACTTTTTGCTTAATTTTTGAAAAAGCTGCCAGAATTCCGGCCTTCATTTCTGGTTTCAAATCCTGGCTTTTCAGATTTGAACCCATCGAAAACAAGATTGCACCTTCTTTAGCATTATCAAGAAATTTTTGTAAATCTTCCGGTAGTTTTTTAGGTGGATATATGTGATATCCTCCAATTTCGATCATGTTTGGTTGATGAGGAACAGCATCAGTGACGCTAACGTGAGAATTTGTAAGTACTAAACTCACGTTATTCAGCGTTTCATCTAATTCAACATCTTGAGATATGTGTTGTTTAAAAATTTTCCGATGGCGAGGCATTAAAATAAATTCTTTCATCAAATTACTTAAATTCACGATATAGCAGTTGTGAAGTCTTTTCCAGAAATTCATATGTTTGTTATATTGGCTTAAGACGTGAGGCACATACGAAGCCGGAGTCGGGTTAGCGAAGAGATTATTGTTAACGCCGCTGATAGCATTAGGGGCTGTTAGAACGATCGGAATTTTGAAATAATAGCCCAGACCGATAATAGCATCGTTAAAAAAATATTCTGCAATTAGAATATCAAAAGTTTCACCAGAACGTAGCAATTTTTTGACGTTTTTATGTCCAAGTGTTTGATTAGTTAACTCGGCGCCAAGTCGTATCAGAAAATTTATATTTTCATAAAGACTCATCGAGTTTCTCGAAAATAGACTTCTCTTGAACTCTAAAAAATTGATAATTAACTGTTGTGCCAAATGTTAATTTTTTTTGCAAAGTAACTAACCTTCAATGAATTCTATATGTTCCTCAACTGACACATCTCTAAAATTTTTAATTGGTGTTTTTTGAGGGTATGGATTAATTACAGTTACTTGATGTCCTCTTTCAGCCAATTCTTTTGCAATTCGTAATCCTAACGAATAATGGCTGTGCGCAGGCATTTGATATACCATTAGTATTTTAGAACATTGAATTTTACATAATAATAAAGCTACAAAAATGACTGGACATGCGAGAAAATGCTTCATTGCGCTGGAAAAATAGACTGAGAATACATTTTTATCACTAACTTTGTACAACAAATTAATGGATTGATTAGATGGGAACACTTGATTAAAACATGCATGTAATGTTGTAACTTATTTCATAATTTTAATACAGATTGTGAAATATTATGTTTGATTTCTAGGTCACATTTTTCTTGCATAAATTAATTGTAAAACTAAATTTATTTTAATACTTGTTTATTTAATTCCACTCAAAACTATTTTACCGCTTTTCATAACATGGTCTAGTAATTCAATATCAGATGTTTTTTGTATGTACAGGGTGCTGCAGTTTGAATGTCCGAATAGGGAATCTTCGAAACTAAGAGGTTTAGCCAAAAACGAGTGAAACATTCTGGGGCTCATTTTTTGCGAAAATAATATTGGTTAAAAACGCATTCCGCTTTTGTCTTTTGTTTTCGACTTATAGACAAAAGTAGACATTTTATCGAAATCTAAAAAAATTCATATCTTTGCTATTATAGAAGATGCAGATTTGAAATTAAAACAGGTGAAGCAAAAAATGTTTTTACTTTGCAGTTTTGGCATAAAATCAAAGATATTTTTTTTCTCTTGTAAAGATAATCCGGGGACATACTCGTACTATAGATTTCGAATCGTAAGTATTTTTATAAAATAACAAATTTTTGGCTCCGTTATCAAACGGTTCATAATTTGCTTTGTCATGACTTTCCCCAAAATTATTTAATCTTTTTAAAAAACGCTTAACTCATTACTAATTTTTTTAGACTTTTGAAAGATGCGCTGTTACATGGTTTGTAACGTTTAGTGATAGTGATATAAGTACAGCAAATACCTATATTAAAAATATTTATTTTTTAAAACATGCAAAAAAATTTAAATTTTACATTTTTTAAATTTTTTATCTATGCTATTGACTTTTCTTCTTGTTGCTAACATTCTTCTTGCTTTTACTAAACACAAATTGTAATAACTTTTTGACAATGACTAAAATTGTTATAAGTATGAGAGATACGACCAAAATTAGGAAAACCACAACATCAATCATTTCCCTTTGGTACCACTTCAAATCAACTCCGCTAGATTTTAAATGAGGGGCACCTTTGTGACGAATTACATGCTCCACCCAGTATATGGCAGTTTCGACAGGTGTCATTGGCCGGTCGTGCATTAATGTTGATCTTTGTTTTACGACATTTCTGTATCTGTAAACAAATAATAATTAGATGTATAGAAATATGTAAAAAGTGTACTCGTAATGTTTACTTTTGATTTATTAGTACTTCATTCAAAGCACGAGTTAATGTTTCTTCTGACAAATCGTTCAACTGAATTCCTATAGCATATCCATCCTGCTCAGCCGTTGCAATGTTATATTTTTGATCCCCGAAAACAGGAATACCAACTATGGGGACTCCATGATAGACGGCTTCAACAGTACTTAGGAATCCACCATGGCTAATAAAGGCTCGAATATTTGGGTGTGCTAAAAAATTTAATTAAGTATTTTTTTCTCTCCTGATTTTATAAACAAACTAACCTAAAACGTCTTGTTGTGGTATCCACTTCATGATTTTAACATTGCTTGGAAGGTTTGGTAAATCATTTTCAAATTTCCATAACACTTTTTCTTTAATTTTCGAAAAAGCTTTTAATATTCCATCTCGCACTTCCGGTTTTAAATCATCACTTTTCAAATTAGAACCCATTGAAAATAAAATGAAACCCTCAGTGGCATTGTCGAGGAATTTTTGTAAGTCTTCAGGTAATTTTTTCGGGGGATTTACATGAAATCCTCCAATTTCAATAATACTTGGTACATGAGGAACAGCATCCGAAACACTGACGTGTGAATTAGTCAACATCAAGCTCGTGTTGTAAATAATACTATCCAAATCCGTGTCGTTGGATATGTATTTATGAAACAGTTCCCTTTGCTGTGGAAGGTGATATAAGTGTAGTAATCCATAGAAAACGCTTTTTGTTAACACATTTTCAATTCTTTGCCAGAAATTCATACATTTTGTTAGAGTTCCTCCCATGCCAGGAACATAAGACGCGGGGGCTGGATTTGCAAAAATGTAATTACTCATATCGCTTGTCGTAGTTGCAGAAATGAGGATCACTGGAGCTTTATAATGATAACCTAATCCAAACATAGCTTCGTTTAAAAAATCTTCAATTATTACAACATCAAATTTTTTGTCAGATTTTAACAAATCTTGGACATTTTTATTAGTCATAGTTCTGTCTACAAGAAGTTTAATCATATCAAAAATAAACGTCAGGTTTTCGATAACGCCAAATTTATTCATATCAAATAACTGTTTCCTAATTTCTGTAAAAAACTACATAGTTTAAGTGAAATATACAAATTAGAGTACTCACCTTCCATCACTTCGATATTTTCTGTAACTGAGATATCAACATAGTTTTTGATCGGTGCTTTCTGTGGGTATGGATTAATGCAAGTCACTTTGTGTCCCCGCTTTGCTAATTCTTTTGAAAGTTTGAAAGGTATTGAAAAATGGCTGTAAGAGGGCATAGGGGCAACAACCAAAATTTCGGAAGTTTGGGTCTCATTTATAAAAATAATAGCCAATACAAATACAAACACAACATAATTTTTCATTGTTGCTATCTTAAATGTAATATAAAAACTAGACTTTTTATTATATTTTTAGCGCTTTAAGTTGATCTTATCTTTAATTTATTGCTCATCAAATTATTATCAAACTTTAGATTATTTGAGATAATTTTTATTTTTTAATTAAACATGAAGAAAAGAGTAGATAAAATTCAGTTTTAACATTGAGGATTGAATAATAGTGTATTATAACACTAGTTTATAAGCAAGCCTTTAAAACACGCACGACGGGTTTAAGAGCACGACACGTCAGCGGAGTGCTTTTAACGGCGTAAGTGTTTTAAAGGCGCTTATAAACGAGTGTTATACGCTATTTTTTATTATACTTGCCCATTTACGATCTTTTATGAGCATTGAAAAAATGTGAATTTACACAATAAAATTATCAAAGTTTGTTTGTGAATCGTTTTCGTAGAGACGGTTACTAGTTCACGTTGTTAAGCACATTTTTTCATGTTGTAATTGGTCCAGACATTTCACTATTTCTTGTTACCTAGACAACTTTAAAATTCAGCGTGCTATAAAGGCCGAATTACGCACGCTGCAGCATGTTTTAATTTAGGATTATGATACAGGTATAATAAAAAATTACTTTATTTCACTAGACGATAAAGGACTACTTTATCTAATGAAATTAGTTGATAAAATATAAACAGTAGATACGTAGCTGAATTCATGTCATTTTGAAATTCGCGCCCCGCGTTATGAGGACACGTGTGCGTCTGTCAACCAGAGTAGAAAGATGTCGAATAAAAAGAATCAGAAGCATAGCGTGTTTGTCTTTCCATTAATTTGTGTTTTATCGGCCCACCCTCGACTACAACTTCAGGTGTGGGCTCAACCGTAGCATTTCATTGAATAATAGTTATTTATTGTAAGAGTGTGTTAGATATCGTTTTATCCACGCAAAAATGTTTAACCACGAGAACGTCAGTTCAAGCGGTTAATTTTCTTAAGTGGATAAAACGCGACTAACACACGACTGCAATATAACGTTTTATCCACAATCACAGGCCCAAATTATTCCAAACTGAATTAAAAATTAAACTGACATTTAAACGTAACGCCAAATGTGCTTTCGGTTAAACGTAGTAAGCTGTTACGCGGTGCGCTGGTTACTTTATTCCACTAATGGATTAAGTGGTACTTGATACGCATTTAAAGTGTGGAATAAAGTCTCTTTATAGTCATTGTGGATAAAATAAATTTAATTGTTATTTACGACAAGAATAACACAATTCGACTCTCCCAAAGAAAATTATAGTAACTCAAAGATTACAGTTTTGAGAAAAATTGCATTGAATCTTTGCTTGTTAATAAAAAATCAAGGAACTGTTTAATATTATTGAAAATTGCTAAGGGTCTAAATTTTGGTAATAATATTGTTTATTCAAAAAAAATTTTCTCATTGTTTTTGTATTTTAAGCCCTACATAAGCCATCGTACTCAAAAACCAATTTTTATCAGTTACTATAGTTTTCGTTGGGAGAGTCGAATTGTGAAAAAAAACTTTTTCAATGAAAAATATTTCCATGGCAAACTATGCAGCAACCGAAGCAGAACCAAATTCTCCCCCATTTAGTGAAGAAAAAATTGGGGTGTTTCATTTATAAAAATTGAGTTAAGGGTATTTGAAGTTTCCTAAACGTAACCTTACATTCTGGCGGCTTGTTAATTATTTTTCATGTTATGAATACATCAAAAGAAATATCTAAACTTTCCCTCTCGTATGCCAAAATGCAATTTCAAAATAATTAAAAATGGTAGAGTTATTGATTTTTGAATAGGAAGATTCAAATCCAATTTTTTTTGAAAAGGTCTAAATATTTCGCAAACGGGTAAACTTAGGTATAGGAAAGACTAATGAAAAATCTCTTAAAATTCCTTGAATAATCTAAATACGCAATAAAAAACATAACTTTCTATTTAAAATAACGAAATTGATATCCACTTCCGGTGTAACAGGAAGTGTCGCCATCTTGAAAATATTTTCATTGAGCAGAATCTAACTGATTATGGCTATAAACAAAATTTTATATAAATATCATTGTTAGAACTCCCAATACTTTGTGGAGTTTAGCCGGAACAGCCTGTATATTTTTAGCAACTGAAATAACGATATCGTTTTTGATGGGTTTTTTTCTGTGGGAGCTAGTTCTTTGGCAAGTTTGAAGAGTATGATATAATGGTATAAAAGCGACGACGGAATTTTGGGTTCCACTAAAAAAAAATGGTGTCCCATAACAAATACACATAACAATTTATAAAACTAATTTCTTACTCTGCTTATCAGCGTGGTTCAGTCTTATCTTTCATTAATTATCTATTAGGTGTTTTAATTAACAATAACAATTTTCCAGTTAAGAAACAAAAATTTGTACTAGATTATTTGATATCTCACTCAAAGCCCATGGGAGATGTTTCTGTCGGTCCACTTAAAATAATGCTGGCGGTCTAACAATCGCTGACAGCTTATAGGTTACAGTACTTTATGTTTTGAACCCTAAGAATATCAAATATATTCACCTCTCAACTCTAATTTTTCTCTCAAACTTTGCAATTAAACACCCAAAGATAAATTAAGATAAAGTCATTAAAGCTTCCCTGTAATCATGTCGTCTAACCACTTCATTGTTTCAATATGTTCAGGTCGGCTTCAAATTTCCATAAAACTTTCTGTTTGATTTTACCCAAAGTTCTCAAGATCGAATCTTTACTTTCCGCTGTTGATCCTGCCTAAAATATTCCGACTTTTACCTCGAGATAATTTTCTAAAGCGTTCGGTAATTTCTGAGCCTCATTTACACTTTCTTTTATCCTCGGCGTAAGAACGATGGTGGGTTATACACTAACATGGGAATTTATAAGCATTAAGTTGACGTTGGATAAACATAACTCAGTTCAATATACGATATGATGTATTTCCTAAAAATTGCCTCGCGTGAAGCTTGATGCCAAAACTCCATTATAGGATTAAACTTGATCTATGAATTTCGGATTTGAGGGAACAAAAACTTGAAGCGCGCTATAACCAAAATATTGCTTTAAAATTTTTGGCCTAAAATAATTTGATTCACTTGGGTGACTTACTTACTTTTTTGGAAATTTTCCTTTTCTTTATTGTGTAGTGCTGTTATCGACATTTGGTCCCTCCAATAAATTTTTCTATAACTAATGAATTTACATTTGCATATAAAATTTCAATTTCTCTTCTTTTTCGTCCTTTTTTTATCCAGTGCTAGAGAACAGCAATTTTCTTGAGGTACTGATTTCAACAATACATTGATATGTAGAGTGGGCTGTAGATCTCGTTTCTTTAAATTGCAAATCGGGTGACGAGTTTGAATTAAAATTTGATTCAATTTTATAATGCAAAATGCAGCCGCAACAAAACCATATAAAATACACTTTTTTGTTGTTGTTGTAAGCTTCTCCTTGTAAGAATAGCAATTATAGACACTTGATGATATATGATCCGCATTCGTGTTCAATAAACTTCCACAAACTCAGAGAGTTTCCGCATTTTTTAAAGTAAGCGTGCCTTCGATGCCAGCGATAATAACTTCATTTGTAACCACTAGCGCACAATGCTTTTTCTATAGCTCTTTTATTGAAATCGAGAAATAAATCATCACTTGAATAGATTCAAGAAATGAATTGGCTATTGGCTATTTTTTATAAAAATGCCAAGGATTAAGCCAGTGACCAATTTTTAATTAATTTAACTGACTAAACCTTAAGACATTTATTTTTCGAAACTGTGAGCAACTGGGACAACAGCAAAACGTTGGTAATTATGTTAGAATTTCGATGAGATGCGGCTTGTTTTAAAATTTAAACAATTTCTCAAAGATTCAGCCATTTATTGGTCCTTGTTGATTTTGCACAAGCTCCCAATCGACCCGCCGTCATCTCCCAATAGTGCAGTTGAATTCGAAATATGCGAAATAAAACTATCCGTGAACGGATTTCGTAAAAGACTGCAACTACGGCTTAACGTGGTAATTTCAACCGTAATAGCTTTCAGCAAAGTTTCCCAATGTTTAACGGTGGTTTAATTCTCTCTCGTTTTATTTAAATTGTTCTTAATTATCGCGTCGTAAAATTTAATTCAGGGGATTTCAGAGGAAAAACTGGCGGTTTTTTATAAGACAAAGTTTGGAAACACACTTTGCCGTCAAATCGAAATGCGATGATCGCCTTATAGTGTCATCTAAGTGAGATGAGAGATGAACAAAGTGCCACATTTTATTCACTTCGCTGCCTTCGAATGTAATAATAAGAGTCAGAAATCGGAAAATGAGAAATTTTTAAACAAGTTTACTTTATTTTTATACATTTTAACACAGTTTGATGAACAATAATGTTATTTAGTATTTACAATAATGGTGTATTTTTATTCTTTTCTATAAATAAATATGGGCATGGGCATAATTATAATTCTTATATACAGTAACATCTAAAAACAATAAATTATCTTGTTAAAGTCTTAATCTAATAACGCATATTATCACAATATGAGTTCAATTATTGATAATAGTCAAAGCAATTTACAGATATCTAAATTGCTACAACACGTAGTAATGTTATTAAGTATTTTTGTTTCTAAAATATGTTCCAGGTTTGTATTTTTGATATATCAGTATAAGTGGAATATTTACAGTAGTATTCTACGATATAGGTATTATGTAAGTACATTAATGCAATTTATACGAACTTACCGAACGTTATTTTACATAGAAATGCGCACCCTGCGATTCGCTTAAATTTGTGTGTTTGCTTCCTGCAATATACAGATATACAGGCTCAATTATATATCGTATACATATCAGAAGCCCAATTCATCATCTGCCAACCATAACCATTAGTCTCGATAAATGTAACAGCCATGGTTGGAGATTGGTTAAGTTTACACCTGCAGCACAGCGATTTATTAGTCGTTTTATATCGATATAAAAATACAAAACAAACTGTAGACGCAACAGTAACTCTTTTTAATCTTGACACAATCTTTTCCACAATTCCTAATCCTCGTTAATTATTTCGTAATTAAAATTGCGCGAGATTGGAAAGAGTTAGTTGTGGCGTCCACCTAACATTTATGGATACAGTTAGGTCCTAAAAAATGCCAAAAACGTATTTACATAGATACAAATAACAGCAATATTAAAATACTTATCCCGTTTCTCCGAAGAGGGTTGATGACGCATATTTTACAGTAAGCGCGCGACACAGCAATGGAAATAAAAGCCGAAATATCGAACAAAATATCTACTTGATGATATTCTAGAGGCGTCTCTTAACTATTTTCAAATTCGATGCTCTGTGCGAAAACACCTCAAACTTTTCAACGGCTATCATATAGAAAGACATTGTAGCGTCATTGGGAACAATATTGCATGTTCTACCTTGGTAATAACAATTATTATGTATATAGACAATAGGAATACTGTATGTAAAAGAAAGCTTATATCGAGCGCAGAATCTCTGGTATGCTAAATATTTTCCTCTATTTGGAATGATCGGAATTGAAATAATTGAAGATATGTACGAGAGAAATCCAATTTTGACACAGCCCTCATTTAACACAAAAACTATTTCAGTCCACACAATTTCTTCAAAATTTCCAATTTCAGAACTGTTGAAAATAAAAACAATGTTTTGATATATTAATTGTTAAACGTAGACTTCTTGTTTAATCACAAACAATAATCAAATAAAGAGTATTTATTGATATAATTTGTTTATTATCTTAATAATCTTAATTTACATTATCTGAAAATTAATTGCAAACTTTAAATATAATCGTACCACTACGTTAAAGCAAACACTGTGTTTTTGAAACCTAGATGAAAAAGAATTCATTTTTGCTCATAATGGTTACTCTACCGGCTGTTAGTGAGTCTAAAATTTTATCATATGCGTGTTAAATAAACAAATGTCTGTTTTTTTGTTTTTTTTTTCGAATGTTTTTTTAAGTAAATTTTACTTTTAGGAGAATTTTAAATTATTTGACATACACTTTGTCAATTTTAAAACTTGCAATCGGCAATTTCTCTCAAATAAAAAAGTTATTAATAATCACTCAAAACCGTTTTGGTGGTTCCTAGGGGGAGTTAAAATGACATGATAAGTGACACACTTCCACCCACCCTTGAATATAATAAAAAATGAAAATTTAACGTCTTCTTTTTTGAATAATTGGAAAAATGGCTTTACCAAATAGGCTGTTGTATGACATTTTTGAAAAGCGCTTGTTATGGGCTTTCCAACGATATATCGCAAGTAGGGTCGTGCCATTTAAAATTTTCAACTTAAGGTGGCTGTGGCTTGAAGGGTGGGTGGAGGAGCGTCACTTATCATGCCATTTTGATTCCCCCTAAAAACCACCGAAACGGTTTTGAGTGATTCTCCATAACGTTTTTAGTTCTAGAGATATTGTCGATTGCAAGTTTTAAAATTGACACCCTGTATGTTACCAAAGTTATTTTGCAAAAACAGAAAGAATAAGGAATTTCCAAATACTTAAGTATTCTTTCAACGGTTCTGAAAATGTTAGTTTTTTATGAACGGTTTTGATTAAGACAATGGAAGACAGACCGCTGCCTTGGGAACCAAAAATCCTGCGCCAGCATTTACCAGGAACTCATATTTTTATCTAATTTTACCCGAGCGGAAATTGCGCCCTCTACTATGTCCTCCACACAAGATCCTTTTGAAGGCTTGTCTGAACTCCGGATTGAAAATCGTATAAATAACCGGGTTCAACGTCGAGTTGAAATACCCCAGCCATAAGGCAAAACTCGAGATATATTCGCTGATGGTGCAAGCGGCCCCGCACAACGGCATAAGCAATGCCAAAATAAAAAACGGCAACCAACACATCACGAAAGCTCCGGTAATGATTGCTAGAGTTTTTGCAGCTTTTCGTTCCCGTTTTGCCTCTAAACTCTCCTTTTTCTCTCTCCTGGACGGTATCAGCTTGTCGACGGACGCCGGACACGTGGGAATATCCTTATTTAATATTTCTACTCTACTAATATCGCTGATGTGGCTTTGGTGACTCGCTGAGCCGTTGTTGGTGGTCGCTGACGAGGTTTTTTCCGGGGAGACGTTGTTTGAAACTAACGGGACTTCGGCGTTGCTTTGAACTAAGCTCGATGTTTGCGGCTTCGATATCGTGAAAGCTGTTGTTTCTTCTTGCTTACCGTTGCTCTGGACTTCATCTTGTTCTTCGACTATTTCCATTGTGGTGGTGGACTGGCCTTCCATCATGACGAGAGACGAGACTAAAGCTTCAGCAGCGGAAGACTTCTTGTTGCTTGAACATTTTTTCATTTTGAGGAATTTCCTCTTCGTGAGAAAATTCTTCGACATCTTACCTTTAAGAAAGGGATATGCTTCAACACCCAACTTGATAAAAAAAATAACCTACATAGATTTATTATAACGCTTCCTATGCAGAATTTTTGATAAAGTTTTTCTTTTATAGATCAGAAAAAACTTAATTGAAAATATTTTACAGTGACATGGTAATCGGTGGGGCCCATCAACTTTTTTCTATAAAAATTGTTAACCAAAAATATTTACAAAATGACTTCTGTTCACATAAAATGACATTAAAATGTTTGTGATGTTTTTAGAAGTATTTTTTAATTTATTGACAGTAATAAATATTAAAAATATTCATGCACCGGTAAAATTACAAATTCTTTTTGCTATTGTTTCAAATCAGAGAAAATTGTAGTTATTCATGTAGCAATAAGACGTGATAAATGACCACGGGGTTATAAAATTGTAACAACTTGTGAGTTTATAAATTAAAAATCTACACTGTAATTGATTGGTTTTAATATTCTTTAATTAAATACATTGCTTTAAATACAAACTTTAAAATTTAAACACCTTTTAGTATACCTACGTGATTTTATTTGTTATACAGTGTGTCCCTGGATAGGTGAACCGACTTTTGTAAAAGATAAAAAAAATCGATTTAATTGTTCATGTTTTGGGGTCAACCCTGCTTGGTTTAAGACTTTCTAATATAGTTTTAGTTTTGAATAATCAAGTGTGCCTTGGAAATTTTCAAAAAATCTATTTTTTTGTAAATATCTTTTGTATGGTAAATACGACAAAAAGTTATTATGAAAAGTTGTTTAAAATCAACATCTAGGCCCGTATATCAAATTTCAAAATCATTGGGCAAATATAATTTTTAATTTTTTATATTTATTATTTCACAAATCAAAGAATGTTATTTTTAACAGTTATTAGTTATTATTAGTACTAAACAACTTTTTGACGTATCTGTTAATAAAAAGCAATTATCTCAAAAAACAAGAATCGTAGTTGACCGATAATTCTGAAATTTGGTATAGGGGCCTAAATGTTGATGCTAAACAACTATTCTTAATAATTCTTTGTCGTATTTGCCACATAAAAGACACTTTACAGAATATGGTATTTTTGAAAATGTCCATGGTGATTTCTTAAAACTAAAATTATGTTAGAAATTAATCTTTAAGAGAATTTTTTATATTATACAAGAGTCGTTTCACCTATCCGGGACAGACTGTATTATATTAAAACTAATAAAAAAATTCCACAAAACTAAACAAATTAAACTTTTCGTATAAGTTTCATTTAATTAATTAATAAATCATTTCAGGTATAAATATTTTTAAGTAAAGGAATAAAGAAAGTCACAAATTTAAGTTCTTTTCTAAAATGTTTATAATTAATTGTACATTTTTCTTAACAAAACAAAGGTAAATTATATTTGTTTGAAAAAAGCTTTCAAAAGCCACACAAGCGTTTGATTCTTTCATTTATGCTACTTTTAGTTTTACTTGAAAGCATTTTAGTATTTATTATTCTATTCAAATATGACCTGAGAAAAAATTAAAGAAAGCCGTGGACATGCTATAAATGGCGTATTGTTAGTTACGGGCTTAAATAATGGCATTTGAGCCTGTAAAATTATTTCTTACCAATTATTTTTGAATTCTATGTATAGATTGAAAACATTTTTTAACAAATAATATTCAAAAATTAATTTAGAGTTTTGAAACTTATTAAGTAAATCATATTGATTTGAAATAGGCTTCGATAAGAAAAAATGTAGTACTTATTTTTATTTAAATTTGTTTGAAAAAAGCTTTCAAAAGCCACACAAGCGTTTGATTCTTTCATTTATGCTACTTTTAGTTTTACTTGAAAGTAATTCCGGTTGTGCCAAAAATTTAATGAAACACTCTCCGTTTTTGACTGACTTTATGAAACAATTAAAAAATAGTTTAGAACTTACTGTTATTGTTTGTTTTCTCGACTTTCAAGACGACTTGTCCCTTCATTTCCCTTCTTCTCCTAATCCGTTTCCTTGCTGTTTGAAAAATCTTCCAATACAAAACGAAAATCACTAAGAGAGGAACGTAGAACGTGGAACTTGTTGCAAATATTTGGTATTTGAGATCTTGGCTAACTAAGCATTGATGCTTTTCCTGGATCCTCTTCAAGTATTCGGGGTCTTTAAATTGCGGTATCTGCGGTGCGAGTGAAACCACCAAAGCAATACTCCAAACAACCACGATCATGATACCAATTCGGTGGCTGTTTCTTGTGTGGATGTAATCTACATTTGTTACGGCCCAGTATCTGGAAATGTAAACGTTGCAAGTAAATATTTCGAGTCCGACGGGCCGTAAGTGATTTTACAACGGGCATATTTCACGGTCAAAGGGAAAACCGAACGAATTTACCGCATTTTCTTATTTTTTACTCGTTTACTGAGGAAAATAACGATATTGTTGACCTCCTTACCGATCGAGAGCGATGGCAACCAGATGCAAAATTGATGCCGTGCAACATAGGACGTCGATAGAAGTCCACATATCGCATAACTCCGGACCCATAATCCAATTGTTACTTATCTGAAACAAATCCCATAGTCCCATATTAATCATACATTCTTTTTACAATACTCGGAATAACGTTAACAGAACGGAATATCTCACAATGTGACGTAAAAGCATTGTAAAAGCATTTTGAAAATATTTGCTACAAAATTTTATTTAAAACCATCAGGGAAAATTTGTAGAAATTAGTCAACTATATAAAATCGATAAAACAGAATGGATAAGGTAGGAAATTTCCTAAGGCTAGAAAGTTTGAACCCTTCTTTAAATGAACTCGAATTCGACGTTTCAGAGCAACTTCAAATTCAGAAGAGCTATTTCTTTCCCTTTTTGTTAAAGTTACTGCTACTGGATTTGACTTTAATTAATTGTAATTAAAATAAAGTCAGTTTTATTTTTGTGGTAGATTCCAATACAATTAAACTAAAAAGTAGGTATTAAAACTTGGGAAACAGAGCACGGCTTCAAGATTTGATCTTACTTTAGACAATTTAATTTTGCTACTTGATTACTTGATTCTTGATATTTGATATCACTCTCGTTTTTACTACTACTTCAAGATAACGTCTTCATCCAATTCTTTTTCATCAAAAGTCGTGAAACTGGTTATGTTTCCGCGAAATCTACAAGATATCGTGTTTCTAAAGCATTATTTCTTTTAAAAATTTTCCGATTTTGAGATTTTTTTCCTGCTTTTACCAAATAAACCCCATAAATTAATACCTAAATTTTCAAAAAAAAGATAAAACAGGTCTAACATAAATGTTGTTATGTTATAAATATTTTTAATAATATAATTTTGTGATTACGAGTACAATTATTTCTCAAACTTTAAAGTTTTCAAATAATTTTGATCTTAGTAGGTACTTTGTGATCGAATACTTTTTAATTTTATTATTTATGACTCGTTTTAATTTGTTTTTATTTGTATCTTATTAAATATACAACGTGTCAATTTTAAAACTTGCAATCGGCAATATCTTAAGAACTGAAAAAGTTATTGAGAATCACTCAAAACCGTTTCGGTGGTACCTACATAGGGGGAACCAAAATGACATGGTAAGTGACGCACTGTAAACTTTTATCTTCAGATTCATTTTAAAAGTACTCGGAAATTAATTCTCCAGATCAGTTACTATACATTATTTCTCAAGACTTGCCCCTATAAATTTCCTTAAATTGTGTATGTGTTGTGCAGTTTGTGCATAATTAAATACAACTTGATATAAGAGCGTCTTGTATCGATTGCGGTCACAAAACAATTTATAATGGTGAACCAACTTGAATTAAGATGTGTTCTAGCTCCCTATAGAAGCTGTTCCAGATTTACTTAGTTCTATAATAGTATATTAAAGTACAAGTTGCAGAAGGTATCTATTCAAGCACAAATTTGATATTCCGAAACGAGCCGCGTAGCGGCGAGTTGAGGAACAAATGAGTGCTTGAAGAACCTTCTGCAACAAGTGCTTTATACTATTTTTTCTATTTTGCCGCTTTATATCATTTTATAAATTAAAAAACGAAAATTTAATTTTTTTCTAGAGAATTTTGCGACGGTTGGCGACATTTAGGTATGTGGAATAGTTTTAGGCGGCTGTACAAAATAAAAATAATTCATATTTTCACATTTGAAAATGAATTGTGAAGAAAGTTCGTCACTAAAATTAAATTACTGCGAACGACTTATTCCAGCACTCAAATGACGTCATTGGGGTGCTAGAATAGACTTATTCTAACACCGAAATAGAAAAAACTTTTTTCTTAAATTCATTGAAAATTTGGATAATTTTATGACGGTATCTAAAAATAATATTAACTAAAGAAAATGTTTTTAATAATGATATCATAAGTAATTTTGTAATTACTTAACAAAAATCGAAAACGTATTGCCAGGCAATTGTCACGAAAGCCCGTAGAGCTCAAGTGAGAATTGTCACGTTTGAAAAAAGTTCTTACAAATAATTTTCGTGTGGTATACCTACGACAGACTACTCAATTCACCTGTCATTTTTCAAATATTATAACCAATAAAATAGCAGATATTTACTTTCGTATCCTAGCAACAGCAAATTCTAGCGAGTATTTCACTAGTAAGAATATTCCACTAGTGGTTGCAGTGAGTTTTTTAACCAAATCATCAAACAATTTGCAGTCAAAGAGTGTAAAATATTTATATTCATGGTCTTGTATACAGGCTGCGCCAGAACTCGCGCCTCAGAGAAAAATGTCAAATGCCGGCGGCAATGCGTCGCCAAAAAGTGCAGCCGAAGAAGTAACTTTTGCTTGCATAAGAAAGTTGAGAGACTCTTAATTCCACCAATCCCAGAAGGGTACCTCAGGGTGTGATTGAAAAATTATATCCATTGCTAGGTTACAAAAATAATACCAATTTGCCTAAAAATTTCAAAAAATAGCTGGATTACTGTAATGGTCTGTCATGTTTTTGACATAACACCCTATTTTCGAATATTTTTCTCGCTGAAGATGCTGTGCACAAGTATAATGAGACGAAATCGTTGAAAATTTTTGAAAACTCGATTTCCATTGCGATGAACCAACAACTACTTATAACTAACAACTATTTTAGATGTTTTCTTCAGAAGCATTGTTCCTACTTAACTTTTTCTTCGATATGAACAACACAGACAACAAGCCGAAAACTAATGCTAGAAGCGAGTTAGATTAACCAAAAAGACAAAAACGTACGCCAGTTTCTTTACTTTATTTCAAAACTAACAGAAAAATGTACTTTTTATAAAAATTTGTGCTTGAACAAAACAGGTTAGGATAATTTTTACTGTCATAATTGTAGATTTGCCAAGGTATTTTTGTTCGGTATTGTAATTATAACCTAAAAACACACATTGCACTAATAAGACCCCTTGCTTCCTTTATCATTAAACAATCCACAAGTGTTGCAATATTGATATTGAAATTAGTTGATATTCGTCAACAGTCCACAAATTTACTGAAAATAATTGCTGAAATGCTCCCGGAAAAAAAGCATTTGGAATATTCTGTCAGTCCACAAATTTACTGGAAATCATTGCTGAAATGCTCCCGGAAACAAAGCATTTGAAATTTCCTCTAATACGAGTATGTCAGTTATAATGACTACAACTTCTCTGATGCATCTACTTAGTGCCATTTTAAAAAATCAAGAAAAGCTTCTTCATTTTCAACTATGCGCGCCGTTCTGGGAAAATCTCTAATTTCTTTTCGGTCTGGTAGGACTTGACTGCTCTTGCACCCTGGCAATGGCCCTCAATGTGACCTTATAGCATGGGCGATTTCTGTCAGGAAAACGTTCGGAAAATATCCTAGCTGCCTCCCTAGCGTTACGCCAACACTTTCCAAAAATGGTTATTGAAATGCGTTTTTTAATGAAGTTGTTCCACTAGGTATTGCAAAATAGATAAAATTACAAAAGTTGGTACAGCTGAAGGAATTCAAAGATCAGTTGTCGAATTTTTTAATCACGGGCGTCTTAAAAGGTAAAACGAATTTAGTACTTATTTTTTATCCTCTTTATGGTCTGTAAGACAAATTGTAAACTGATTTTACTCAAAAACGGTAAGTTACATCGATAAAACGCAAGAGACCTTTTTTTGTGAAAATTATGGAATTTAGAATTTTGTGGCCGAAAGTAGCAAGAAACAACAGCCAAAATAGTTAGGGTGCTTTTTACCCTAAACCTCTACCGACCCCCCCCCCCCCCACTTTAAAAGGTCCCTGAGTAAAAATTTCGACATTTTATCTTTGAGTTTATTTGGGTGTATAAAAGTTATAAGTTTTACCAAATTTGGTAATTTTATTTACAATGGTTTCTGAAATATTAAGAAAAACTCCATTAAAAAATGCACTCTTTTCAAGGGATGTAGCTCCCTTATTCCGGGTGCGGCATCGGTTACGCGTATTGATAAATCGCAACTTCTAATTAATTAAAACTGGCGATATTTCATATATCCAACTAATTATTGATAGGGTATATTTTGAAAATTTTTCTAAATTTTTTTGATAATAAATGAGGCAGCGCATCAAACTTTGATATCACAATTTCAAATTTTGACTTGGTTATCCAAATAATCGCTTTTTTTATTTAAACACAAACCAGACCCGTGATTTATGACAAAATGATATAATTTGCCAACAAAAGAATCATTTAATGGTAGCCGACCGCTTTGAAGGGTCTTTTTGTTGTAAACCTTGGAATGTTACCTCAGTTGCAGTTCACCATTCTCACCTAAATTTACGATGGCACTAGTAGCAGGTCATAAATAAAAATGGTGTTCAAAGTTAAGATGGAAAATTGCGTTTAATTCAAAATCTAATTGTTTTTTTTTTCTGATTTTGTAAACAATTGTAGGAAGTGAATATGCGTAGGTCAGTATAAAAATTAGAATTAAACTTTTTAGGAGAAAATTTCTTTTTTTTGGTTTTGTTTGTAAATGAAAAATTACCAAAAAATTAGGGAATGTACCTTACCAACGCCCAGGTAAGTGTGAAAAAATTCAACAATTTTATTTAATTAGAAGTGGGGATTTCTGTTCTGTGCGTAACGGATGCCGCACCCGGTATAATATTTTTTGATACATGTTCATAGAAAACTTTTATCTTAAAATTGAATATTCTATCACCTGTTTAAAATTGCAGCAATAAAAACGGAACACCTGTGGATAAAAACTTTATATATTTTTTATATATTATATTATATAAATTGATAATAACGTATTTAAAGTTAAAAATTAAAACAATTTGCAAAGCTCCAAGCCACAGCATTGTTTTGTAACACTTTCTTTGTAAATTTGTAACAAAAATGACATTTTAAATTTTATTTTCATTCTCCAAGTTATTATACGCTATTTAGACATAATACAGTAGAAGTAGACACACCCATGGGAGTTGTAAACGATATAACATAATGTGTTTCTCTTGAGAATATAATTTACCTTTCACGTGACTTGATACATTCTATTTACCAAATTGTATAAGCGTTCAATATTTTCTAAAACAGTAAAACACATTTTTTCGAACGGTATTTCAAATAAAAATATCTTCTGCATCCGACAATAAGGTAATAGTGCGTATTATATTACAAGGCAATATTTTCGTGTTTTTTTCCAACATTAAACACCATTATTTTGTGCACAAATCAGTTTTATTTTACTTGAAAAATTCGGTATCGTACGCCGCCATATCTTCTTTTTTATTGTAACATTTAACCTTCTTTTACGCTCTACACAGTTTCGGGAAAAAAATGATGAACCACAAACCGGATGATAAGCCGACACTAAAACAAAATGAAAATGTATTGGTTCCATCTTCTCGAGAAAAAAGCCAATGCAGGGATATAAATGTCGAAATAAAAGAGTTGTTGAAACGTTGTTTTAACAAATTTTAGAAAAAAATCCGAAACACCCGAGAGGCAATTTGTGCGTTTTAGGACAATTAGGTTGGGTTGAAAGGGCCCGTTTGTGGTTCCTAGGAGTAAATCATTCAATCTTAATAGTTGTTATTGTACTATTAATCCTGCATTCTCTCGGCTCTAAATGGTTTTATGTATATTAGGGGTGATTTATAGACGGACGCAGCATATGTGGAGGCTGAGGCCTCCGATACATAATCTGCTGATGTACAGAGTGATATTTCCCTGAATATAAAATTTGAATGAAAATGTAAATGCGCTTTCGATTCCATTAGCGCTGGATGGTAGACCACGTAATAAAGCCCCTGCGCATTTAAAATTGTAAGTATTTTTTAAATTAGAACAGACGCTCTTTGATTTAGGGAGGACGTATTGTGACGTCGCATTAATTTGGGGAATTTACATAAATTCAAACTGTAAGCCGTTCCGTCAATTAACTATCCCAAGAACACAACCACAGCTAAAAACCTCGTTTCCTGAAATACCCTAAATATTATACATGTTTCACGATCATTGGCAACAGGTGCTTGAAGCCACACACGAATCTACAACTCAGGTTAAGGACTTGAAAGGGAACAAACATATTTGCTTTATATTTAACAAATTTATTTGAAGATTTTTTCAGGAAATTGGTGCTTTAGGAGGAATGAAATAATTCATGTAAAAATTAAAAACACCACCAATTTTGTATGGAAATGAATTTACGCTCACTGAAAAGGGTACAACTTTTTTAATATACAACCGAGGTTTCGGCCATATACTTACATGTTAACTTTTGTTCGCGTATAAATTTACATTTACATTTAAATTAAAAGGCAAGTTAAACATATCCCTATGCAGAATTTAATGAATAATGAAAATATATGTACAACCTAAGCCTTGGGGATTAATAAAATAACACGAAAAAAGAAATATCACACGGGACGAAAACCATAAAATAGGGCTAGTGTGGTGCACTTTAAAGTTGGTTGATAGCGATAATTAGGTAGTTTATTGATTTTTTCCTTATTTTAAATATTCAGTATCTATATCCCGAGTGCATGCCAAATATGCATGAATGGCATGCAAGAGGGATATATCGAGGACTATTTACCAAAGAAAAAGAAAAATTCGTAGGAATTTTAGAATGCAAAATAGTAAAAAAACAAAAATAATTACTTTTGGATGAATTACGATAAAAAAATCCAAATTGTACTTTTAATGACAACTATAACTATTATTATTGTTCACATGGGTCAATTAATGTGTTTTTATAATTATTAGCCTTAATGTTTTGAAAATGTTTAAAATATTCACTGTATGTATGTACACCCTATAAATTTAAATCGCACTCGTTGACTTGGAATATTAGGAATTGCTGTAAAAATTTTATTTGATTGAAAATGAAGCCACAACTCGATTTCTGTGAAAAATGTCACCAAAATCACATAAAATCCTTTACTGTTGATAAATAGTAAACAACACTTAACTTCTACATTAATTAATAAAATTAGTAAATAAAACAATAAATTAATTATTTTGTGAAATAGTGACTTTGGACATCAAAACCATGAATTTTTAATTTTAAAGAATCGTTTCAAATATTATTTTATTCCTTTGAAAACAAGTCAAATGCGATAAGTGATTACTCATAGTCAAAATTCTTAATAATTTGAGCAAACGATTTATCAATTTTCGTCAACTCTCCATCGACCTATCCCAATACCGGAAAACCGACAACTGCCGACCATCGGCTCCATCCCATCTGAAAACGGTCGAACGTGTCCGTTCGAGAGCCGAGTTTGTGTCATTACTAATGAAGTACTGTGTACGAGTGCACATACCCGGATATTTTCATGGTGCATCATATTCGTTCGTTGTTGGTTATTTCTGTAATAGGCAAATATAATAGGAGAAAATCAGTCACCAATAGATGGTACTGACCATCAATGTTTTCCCCATTTGAATAGTTTGCCGTTGATCTGCTAGATGTCTCCTTTACTAATTTTGGCGCGTAGCTTAGACGACGGCGCGGCGGGATTTTGACGAAATTTTGTGACAATTTAAAAGTTACCTAACGTTTTTTAAAAGCATTTTAAAATAATAATGCCAAAAGTAGAAATTTCTATTTTAGAAATTTTTCAATATGTAGGTGCTCGCGACAGGCCTCTTAAAGAAGGCGAAGCGGTTTTTAAAGCAGGGCATATCATTTTGTGTGGAGTGAAAAACAGTGATACTAAAACTATTGTAAGCCTCTGCTTACAAACTAGTGCATTAAATTCACCCCCGCATGAAATAAATGTAAATATAAGTGAAAGTGATGTGTGTAAGTGGAAGTGTGTGTGTAGCTGTAAAGCTGGACAGTCGGGTTTTTGTAAACATGTTGTAGCAACTTTAATATATATAAATAGGTAAAATAACATTATACAATTAATAAAATTTAAATATACATGTAGGAATGAAGACTTAGAACTAGTTAGTTGTACCGATTTGACACAGGCATGGGGAAAAGAAAAAAAAGGAGTTGCGGGGATGTACGAAAAAACTAGAATAAATGAGTTTTGGTGTCATAAACCAACGACAATGAAATGGACATCGCATCCTCAGATAGAGAAACGCAGTTTTGACCGATTTGTTCTTTGTAAGTAACTAATAGTTCCCATGTACCTAACATTAGATATAAACGAATGTACTTAGATCCATCCTCACTTTTAGGTAATCCTTCATCTGCAATTTCTAAGTTTTTAGAAAGAACTACTAAGAGAGTAAAAAGTTGTTCAGAACCAGATAAATAAACTCAGGTATTTGTTATTAATACTTACTTTCAAATAATATAATTCATAAAACTCATACAATTTATTAATTATGTTTTTTTTTATTTTGTTATTTGTTTTAGGAACATAGAAAAAAGAATCACAGAAGAATATATAACAAATATAATCAAAAATGCAAATTGTTCTACATTTTTAGGTAATATTGAATGTGAAATATCAAAATTAAATTTAAATCAATGCTGTTTACAAATAATTAAAAATCTCGGAAATTCTAATCAAGTGAAAATTGCTAATGAATATAGTTAAAGATCTGTTGCTTGGAAAGAAGAAATAAGTTAAGAGTAACAGGTTTGTTGTACTAGATACATTAAGCATTTTAAATTACTTTTAAAATGTGTTTTAGGTTCAAGATGTTATTCTATAATATGTATACTTATGCAAAGGACGACTGGGAACAAAAATCCCTCAATTATTTCTTTCTCAAAGAGTTTATGTCAAAATACACTGAATATGGAATTATTAATGAACCAAATGCATTAGAATGTTACAGAAAAACTACCAAACATAAAATCGTAACTCCTGGTCTCATAGTATGCAAAAATTTCCCTTGGCTAGCGTACTCACCTGATGGGATTCTTATAATTGATGGAAAACCAAGTATTTTATTAGAAATTAAGTGTCCTTATTCAGGTTTACTTAAATTTTATTTTTTTAATTACATCACCTATTATTGTCTTTAGGCAATGAAGTGGAAAGAAAAGATTTAGTGAACATGTGCGATTACCTGATTTTAAATGAAAACACTGCCTTGACTTTAAGGAAAAAACACAGAATTTACAGCCAAATACAGTTTGGAATGGCTTTACTAAATGTAAATGAAACACATTTAGTAATTTATTCAAAATTTTCAAACTCATTTTTACAAATTCTGGTAAATTTTGACGAGTTATATGCCAAAAATCTTTTAGAAACTGTTACTAATAGATTTTTAGGTAATATGTTACATTTTTTTTTGTTTAAATAAATGAATGCAAATTAGAAAAGTTTTTAATAATCTTCAGAAAAATGTTCAATTACTACAAATTTGTCATCAGCCATTATTGGGGGAGATAAGTTTACGAGACATGCAACTTCTTTAACTATGTCGTCTGTGTAGGGTACCAAATACCAAGAAAGTTGATATTGTAAAATATGGAACATTTTCATTCTTTCTATTGATCTCTCAACATGTACTCGAGCCCTTGCAATATCAGCAGTTTTTTCCGCATCTAATTTTGAAAATTGGCTTTTTTTTCTTAAAAAAGGTGGTCTTATTAATTTTAAAAAATTTTCTTCACATTCTTTTTCAATAAGCACGCCTTTATCAACCATAATTCCGTCATGGGGATCAAACTTATCTATTAGTTTTTCTTTATTAAAGATTGCCTTATCACTAGTACGTCCACCGTATCCAGAACTCACAAATGAAATTAGCCCAGAAGGTGTTATTGCTATCAGATATTTTAATGTATGGGTGCTTTTATAATGAGAATACGTTAGTATTCTGCATTTTAAGCACTTGCATCGGTCTACTTTTATTTCAGTACAATCTATAACTGCTCTTGTATTACTATATTTCTCAAAACATTTTGGCAGATTTGCTATTATCTCTTCCTTTGTAGGCCAGTATATTAGAGGCTTCATTGATACTGACAACAGTGACAAAATCGAGTAAAAGTATCTGCTTACAGATGACGTAGATAAATTAAAAAGGATAGCCAGGCACGTATATGGTAAATTTAGTCGAATTTTTACAAGTACAATAATCACTTTTAACATTAAATCTTTCACTTTTTTGTTATTAAAATTAGCTACTTCTTCAGCACTTTCAACAACAGCTCTTAAAATGGGAATACTGATACCTGTAAACGCTTTTAATTTTTCATCATTGTTTACTAAAAAGTTTTCAAAACCAAAATCCGTTTGGGTGCTTTTGTCACTTTTTTCATTAATATCAATAAAACAATCAATCTCCATTTTTTCAATTTTGTCAGTAGATAAAGGCGGTATTGAGAAATTATTTAAATGATTAAAATTTGTTTCCAGATTTGAAGTGGTATTGGAACTGCTTGAGGTAGTAGTCGAGGTAATAGTTGAGGTAACAGTGGAGGTAGTAGTCGAAGTAATAGTTAAGGTAGTAGTTAAGGTCGTAGTCGAGATAACTGTCGAGGAAGTAGAGTAACTTTCTTCTGAATTGAATTTTTGGCATCTTTTTTGGACGGATAATAAAGAACTGGAAATAAATTATTTGCTTATCTTCTTGTTTTTGTTAGGATTAAGTGTTTCTTACGTTTTTTTGTTAGAATTGATGTTAGTATTTGATGGTAAATTTTTTGAAGGAAATGCCGTTTTTTTAATCTTCGTACTTTAACACTGTCGTCTTTCGCTGTATAAAATTAAATAAAGTTAAGAAATTGTATTTACTACCTAGTACATTACATGAAGGTATAAAATCATTTAATGCAAAATGATCGCTGCAAACGTTTTGGTATTTTGTGACTTTTTTAATTTTTAAAAGTTTTTGCCACTTTTTACACAATTCGGGTCTCTTTAGGGGAAAGTAATGCATGGAAATAGGCCCTCCCACATAGTTTTTACAATGAGGGACAGAGCAAAAACGCTTGCAAGTACTCATATTTCCATTGATTGTCAAATTGACAAAAATGAAAAACTGATATTGTCAAAATTTGTTTTCCCCATTTGGATAGTTCCAAGCCGGACACCAGAGGTCAGCTACTTTGCTGATTTTCTCCTATAATTGGTTGAAATTTTCTGAAGGAATAAAACGAGTAGTCAAAAATTGTCGATTATTTTATGAATGATCATTCGTTTTATGAACACCATGAGTGCGCCGCACGACTGGTGTTCGCAAGCGTAATGACATGTATAAAAATATTAATTAATTACGAATTGTATTCAACAGACTATTCAATAAACCAAATGGCAAATTTGAGTTACACATGATTTTATTTTCATCGCACCCGGTAAATAATCAAGTTAGTTCAAAATATTCACTGCAACCACTCGTGGAATATTCAGTTATGGTTTTCGAGTGGATATTCGCTTGAATTTGCTGTTACTAGAATACGAAAGTAAATATCTGCTATTTTATTGGTTAATATTTAAAAAAGAGAGGTAAATTAAATAGTCAGTAGTTAGTTATACTCAATAATATTCAAGGATGGCATGCAAAAGGGATATATCAAATCCGAAGAAAATTTCGTAGGAGTTTTACGATAGGAATAATAAAAAACACAAATAATTATTTTTAGATGAATTATAATCAAAAAATCGATTTTGTACTTTTAATAATAACTGTAACCATGAATTTTTAGATGCTACTTGTAAGTTACATCAATAATTGCATTTTGGACAAATGTTTTCAAAATGTCAAAAATATTCATATTTGCCCGTTTGTAGGTAATTTCTGTAATATGATTGGTTGGAGTTTTCAAAGGGAAATAGTCGTCAATATTTCATTACAATCTTTGCCTACTGCGTTGCAGATTTAATATGAAATTCTTTGCCGAAACGCAGTGTTAAATAAAATACATTTTTGAACACAATTCTTTTAGCAATAAAATCGTTGACTTTTTCTTCTCTAAGGGGCAGTTATTTTTAATCAATGTATTTTCAATCCAGGTGATTGCAATCGAATTTGTTGACAGATCATTCATGTTGATACCTTAATTATACAATCATAGTAAGTGAACTAAATAGACCATCTGAGTGTCATCGATGTCAATATAATTAACGAAGGTAATTGATTGTTTGCTTTGTTATGTTTCATGTCAAGTTGCGTAACAAAGCATCTGATCATTCTCTAACTTGGTGTAAATTACTTAATGGATTTTTTATCTATAGTTGTGTGAAACTTGAAAAAGTGTTTCATTTTCGTATCATTGTCAAAGCAAGCAAAACCGAGAAAAGATCAAGTCGGTGCTCGTGTGAAAGCAGCGTTGTTCAAGTGGCCCAATGAATATTGCATTGATGAAACACTCCACCAAAGAGGACACAAATTGAATTCATGAGAGACGGATTTCAACAAAATTGTGTTATCCATGAAGTTCTCTGTACCGATAAATAACTACTTTTTATTTAATTGGTGGTAAACAAGACAAATTAGGCCGACATGTTGAAATTTGAATAGAAGAGAATTTGGTAATTTTCTTAAGGGGCCAACAAAATTATTACTGTTGTTAAGTGAATTATCGCGGTCTCATTCGGGGCCGGATTGTGGTATAAACTGTAGAAAATTACCATATTATTCATTTACCCCTACGTCCTTTGTCAAAGAAACTTAATCCCGAATAAAACACCCTAAAAGGAACAATCCTAAACCTCGATAAAAACCAAGGACTCTTAAATAATTACACCGTTTTTCTACAACAAACAACTCTAGATCGGCGACCAAATTAAAATAAATGTCTTTTCTAATTTTACCAACTTCTTTCAAGTTTTAATTAGTCTCCTAATTCGGTTTCGTCGAAATGAAATTTTCTGCCACAGAATTAAATTTAAGAGGATTTTTTTCGAAAGGTTAAGCAGGCCAATAGAGCTGAATATTCTGACGTTCAAACCCTTGTTTGCCAACATAACGAGATAGAGGCGTAAAAAATTCAATTAAAATTAATGCTGATCTATTATCAACAAAACTAGAGCAAAGTTTGACAGTTTTCTCGTTCAAGGGCTAGTTAGATTAAACACGAGCTCTTGTTTATGTAATACCCACTTGGTTGTTTTAGGTAAGCTCGAATATTGCATATATGAAGCACTGAAAGGCAACATAATTGCAAATTGTTTATCGTTGTCTGGAGTTGGGTATAAAGAGCGAATATGGCGCAATAACTGGAAAAGCCATCATAAATCACAGCTAGTCAAATTTAAAGCGTTATCTTGTATCGGCCAGCGTCGACTAAAATCAAAGTAAAAGTAAGTAAAAATCATATTTGACATAGACATAACGATGATTTTGCATCGGTGAAAGTAGCCACTGGCAGATTAAATTGTCGAGCATTTGAACTGAGAAGCAGTTTTCCGAATAAATAAATATAAATATGCATTTACATGCGCCAAAAGATAAAAATTGATGCGGTGCTGTCATGGTGAAGCAATTTTGATGAATATGTACAAAAAAATAAATCGAGATACAGCCGGGCGATAATAAAATCAAGGCTTGATAAGTGACGTATCGCGGTTAGAGGTATTAAATGTTACAGGGGAATAAAAAAGGTCCTACGATATATTAATGATAAATCAGAGTCGTACCTACGACAAACTTTATTATTACACAGGGTTGAGGGACATTGAGTACAATTTCGTGCTTATTGCCCCACATCAAATAGCCAATATTCTATTATTAATAATTGATCGGCGTGAAGACCGGATATTGGAAATTACCCAGCAGCCAATAGCGTGTGATTCCGAATTATGTAAATTCAGATGAAGAAACAGAGAGCTACATAATTAACCTTTTTTTGTCGGAAAATTACCGACAAAAATTCAACTTATGCTAATTTTTGTAACAACCAAATACGCATTCAGTACTAATTGGCGTTATACAACGGCGGGCGGCGAGACCTTTAACATGCAAATTCTTTTCGAGTTGAGAGAGGAGCGAGAAGTCAAACAAAGACATTTTTACTAAAAGTTCTTTTCGGAAAAAATCCTGATGAGTGTTGGATTTTGTTACAGGTCAAGGAAGCGATTCTAAATAATGTATTTTACTTATTTACACAAAATTCAAATTTGATAAATCTAGCAAAACACATTTCATTATTAAAAATGTAAGCAAATATTGTGATACATTGTCAAAATTTCGTTAAGAAAAGCTTTTGTAAGGAACTGTTTTGTGTTATATTTAGTCCTTTTATGTCGAGTATTTTTTCTAAAAAAAAATATCAGATTACATTTTATTGTCACAGACAAAGAATGTCTATTTAGATAATTTTTTTTCTAGAGATATCAGGAAAAATGCATTATTATAAGTTACGAGTATTTTATTTATTTGTAAAAAAGACCAACACATCTATTTTTGTACTAATATATTCTCACTCTTTATTTTGTTAGAAATTCTAAAATATTCTGATCTTTAAAATAAATGTTGCTTTTCTGTTTTCACAAATTCAAAAACTTCCAGTATATTACAGAAATGAAAACTTCATAATTTTTGAATAATTTTGAACGTTTAACATTTTTTGTGCTTTTTGTAATTAAAAAAATGTGTTCCGAAACCGTATTGTATGATGTTTTTTTGAATTGGATAATTAGAGTGGCTAGACGAGTATAAATCAGCAGTCAAATTTTAAATTTGAAATATTACATTTAGATGATCATTTGGTCATTTGTCACAGAATTTTATAAATACCGGAAAAATATTCGTTTAAAACCTCTATAGTGAATAATTGCGTTCTTGTTTTGCCTTTTATACCCATCATGATGTTGCCATTAATTGCAATTGTCTGAATAAAACTTTTCTCGTAAAGTCCATCAAAAATTTCAACAATTGATCATCGTGCAATCGACAGCTTGTACGTTTAAAATCAAAAGCAATACTGAGGCGGAAAAATCGGTTTAAGGGTTTTCCGGTTGCAATAAATTTTACAACCTTGAATCAGAAATAAAGGGTTTTACAGTCGTGTGTTACTCTTTTGCATTTTAGTCTGGTGATGGAGTTAAAAACTGTTTAAACTCGTTATCACGATAAATGAGTGCCCTAGAGACAAAATTTTCAAATTCAAATTCTTTTAACGGATTTCTGCCAAATGGACTGTGGCTAAATAAAAAAAAAAACAAAAATATTCCATTAGGCAGATTACATGATATTTAACATGTTTACATTCATTTTATGATTTTTTTTCTTAATTCATTTTTATGATGGAGGTTTTATCCAAATAATATTTGCAAAATTTAAACATAGCGGTGATTTATTCGAATTTGGGTTTATTTAATATTTGCATTTGCTTGAATGAAAAAATAATTAGACACTTTAATTGAAAATTTATTTCCATAATTCTGTAGGAAGAGTATTGGAGAAACGTATAGAAAAGTTTACGGCATTAATATTTATGTTAAAAAGAGCGTTTGTTAAAGAGAGACTCGCTCTTAAATGAATAATTTGCCTTTTGTTCCGTTTATACGACAATTGGTATTTTAATGATGGATGTTTTTTTCAAACAAAAGATCCAGTTTTAATTGCTTGCTGGAATGGGAATTAAAATGCAAATTTGTTTGTATTACTTTATTGTTTACACGGAGAAGTTGGAGTAAGAAAGTTAAATCCACGTTGGAGCTATCGTTTAAAAAACTCCGGTATATAAAAATCATCCCGAGTTTTGTTTGCTTGAGGACGGTATAATCAGAAATCTGTAATTTCGAAGTTTTAAAACTCGATTTGCATTGCGAAAATGAAGCCTCGAATCAAGCGTCATGCAAATTTAATTTCAGGGAATGTAACCGATATAAAATCCCCGTCTTTACTTCTCATTTGTCTTAACCCAATTATTGCAATATCGTCTTATTTCGTTTCAGTTTG